CGAACTCAAAGCTCAAACAAAGGAGAAACAATGGACAGTGGCACTCTCCGACATACCCGACTGGCCAAGAATCGAAGCCGTTGCTGAGTTTAGACTACGTACCGGACACGATTGCTTGGCAAAACACCTTCACAGATTGGGAGTATACACTATGTATACTCTATGTAACCTACAGGAGGAAATGGAGAAGACCCACCTGATTCGGTGTCCAGCTCTAAAGACAAGGACGGAAAACCAAAGATACTGGGAAGCAAGAAGACAGCTAATGAACTGCTATTAATTAACTGCTATAAATGTACCCCCCCCCCTCTTGGGGGAAGCTGAAGTCAAAGATTAAGGGCTAATGATAAATATCATAAAGCCTGCCATTTGAAATAAAAAATATACCTTATTTGTTACAAGGATGCCAAATGTCCTTTAATTGATTTTTACAAAATATTTGTCATCCTCTCAAGAGAATCAAATGTTTATTTTCTTTATTTATTATAAGCATGCTTACAGATAGAGAGAGCTCTCGTATTTTATGCTTAAAATGACTGTATCTCAAAGAGATGGGGGAAGGCATTTATTTACATGAATAAAGCCATCTTTTATTTACTTAAGGCAACTTATATATTGCCCCTTCTGGATTACCCCAATCAACGACACTATACCTCTTCTGCTCAGCTAGCAATTCAATTCTTCGTACAATGCGAACTGATTGTGATAATGTCATCCAAGTAAAACGAAGTCACACTAGGGGTCTCCAGACTTTCTCGGATCCATTCATAATGGCACGATCACCGTCCAGGCAAATGCGACTACTTAACGAGACAGTGGAGTTGCGTTGCTTAATCTCACCCTTCCCTGGTACTGAAATTCAGTGGACCTGGCAAGCAGCCAAATTCGACACTACACTGGAGTGGAAAAATGGACACTGGAATTCCAAGTACAATGATGTGGTACGCTTGATTTCGTATTCTGCTCGCAAAAAGCACTAACTTTTATATATGTTTCAAAGTAACCTTTCATCAGCACGGTTAGGATCTTAAGCTAATAATTGTAATTCCGATTTTGAATTCCCTCCTTATTAAATAATATAATAAATAATGCTAAGTATATAAGACGAGCTACTGGTCAAAAGATTGAACCAATTAGCAATAAATAATTGTTATTTATTTGGTGCATTTAATCTTCGGTGGCATTAGAGTTCCTTTATTCGGGGCACATTTAGAGATCAATGTGGTTTGCAACCGATCAAGTGTAGGTGAAGCAAAAACCAGGTTTAAGAGTATTGTTATCCATATCCCTTATTTTAAATTTCAGTTGCTATGAAATTAGGTATCTGGTGAATGCATACCCACAAAACTTCAATATCTGATTTCAAAAGCTCTATATTCTTACAAATTAATGTAAAATGAGTCGGCAAAATAGCATTATTTTTCAAGCATTTTCATCTTTGCGGACAATCATAGACGATTCTTTACCGAGTCACTTTGCAACAAATAAATGACCTACGGTTCGTAAATTCAGAATGTGTGAATCTTGTATAATTGGATTACCTATTCCAGTATTCAATGTTAGCGTTATTTTAGTCTCTTAGTAACTTTAATTGATATTTCTCGTTTTTGTATTCCAAATTGGTATTTTGTCAGACTTCTTTCCCACAACAGTGAGTAAGGTTATAGGTCGAAATTCGCCAGGCTATCACCAGTTGCTGACATGAATGTTGATTTTAGTCAACAAGAAGTACTCTTTAGGCATTATTCATCAATAAATTAGAATAATATGAGAAATAGGTAGTCAAGGTGTGTTTTAAGTCATATGCAAATTGTGAATATAATCATGGGCCTTCAAATTTGAAAATGAGGAGTTAATGACAAATGAATGGCACCCAAATTCGCTTTACTCGAGGCTAACGGAGATACAACTATGAAAAGCTTCTAATCTTCAGGTTTCAATGGGTATACCTAATGCACAGGCTGCTATTCCATCAGATCTAATGTAATAATAATTAGAAGTCTGAATAATGACTATAAAACGTATATTTTGTGAAATATACTAATTTATTCTTCCCAAGGACGTTAGTACATTGTTCATCTAGATTAAAATTAATTACTGAATAGAATAGATCGAGGTAGATTGAAAAACAATAATTCTCTCCTCATTCACTAGTTTTCTACATACTGAGCTGAGTTGATGACCTGTTTGAAGACTTCATGAGCTTATTTTTTACTTGAAACCGTTATAGAAAATTATATGATTCCGCTTGTTTATGTCAATGATGATGTATTATTTTTATATCAAAATTGAGACCCATAGATTTATTTTAATATTTACTAAACCATTCTTTGGTGCACTGATTTTAAGTCTGATTTCAATCAGCCTCCCCTTTACAGAAAGCCTAATTTAACGCATAATTTCCGAAAATCGAACAAACTTGGATTGAAAAACTCCATGTCTGTCATTTCACCACCTTTTTTGATTCTCATGGAGACTCCTATTGTATTAGCAGTTTAAGTGTAACTGGTATCATTTTTTAAAGAAAGAGTTCAAAGCAGTTTACTTCTAAATGCTCGACCGTTAAATCTTTTTTTTCATTTGGAATTAATATTTTACAATTAGCACGGCAGTTAAAAGAGTGCAATTTGAATAAAAAAATGTTCGCTTTAACTTTTAGCTGCCAAATGATTTCAAGGTGGAGATAAAAAATGAGGGCACACTACTGAGTATTGAGAGGCTTAGCTTTGAACATGCCGGTGTCTTCACCTGCCAGTCAGTGAACAAAGCTGGACAATTAGTGAAGCCCGTCTTTGCGACGTTTGAATTAACTGTTGAATGTAAGTCAAGATTTCGCTCTTGAATTCCTGCTTTTTTTGCATAACTCCAATTAAAAACAATCACAGTTTGCTCAAATTTGTGAAAATAAAATAATATTATGTCATTTCATGGTGAAGTCAATTTTAGTGGAAAATCATCTTTTGTTTGATGAAAATTTCGTTCATTTAAAGCTCCAAATTCCTAAGTAAGTCGCCACGTCGTAAACGAAAGAACAACTACGCTGAAATCCAAAGAAATGTAAATAGATAATCTCACCATTACAGAGTAATTAAATATGGGCGAATTGGCAACAACTATTGTTATTGAAATGCGAGTCCGAATGGAATTGAAAGTCTATACACGAATACCACTTAACACGTCTTATATTAGAATATAATTTAAAGGTAAAAGGCATTTTTTGCTTTGGTAGCCATTCCAACATTTAAAGTGAAACCGCTGGACACCACAGTACCGATAGGCGATTCCGTTCAATTGCGATGCGAACCGAATGAAATCGGCAAATCTAAAATCGAAGTCAAATGGCATATGAACGGTGAACCAATTGGGCGTTACTTGGATGGTGATCGAAAACGATTATCGGGAAATGTGAGTAGATGACAATATTCAATTACATGAAAGTTTTGATAAGAAATCAATGTAAATCAGATAATTGTCAATGGTTCAATTTCTATTAAGCGAACAAATTTTGCAGTTAGGTTGGCAACTAAATGGCACTGTTTTTAGAGCAATGAGAACTTTTTTTGTATTAAAGATATCTGTTTATGATATTAATAACTTATATAGGTCTTTAATCTTATTGACTATGATTTGAAGCTACAGAATACTTAATATTAATTAAGTATTGATTAAATCGGGAAGTAGAGATAAAAATGGCAAAGCTAATTGGGATAAACGTACTGAAAAGCGGATGAGAACTAGGTTCGTCGGTCGGTTGACCTGTCAATCAAGTTAATTTCTATCCACAAAAGGGTGAAATTGTGTTGAAACCCAAGTAAACGAAGCATTAAATTCATTTTTAGATTATTTAAAGTACTTGATTTATTTCACCAGAAACTCTAATTTTCCCTGGCTTTTTTAATTGTCTGATAATTTTAAGGTTGATAGAAGAGTGCTCAAAATTTATTTGCAGCACATATTTGCGCCTCTCTTCACTTAGTCTCCTGTAAGGACGAAAGCTGAGATTGAATGACAAGCCAGACAAATTTCAAATCTTAATTACTTATTAATTGGAAGCTTTTGAAATGGGAAGCCAGAAGATTCAATTGGGAAGGAGATCTTTTTCACGGATTACAAAAGACATTGCATATTTATTAATCTTTGAAAGTTTTAATGAAATAATTGCCTTATGAGTAATTTGCTCTTTCTAAATAATAGTATTATCCAGCTAGATTACTTTTTTCTCTGGAGTATTACAACTTTAGCATATTTAGCCCTTAATAAAAGTTACTCACAAACTTGTTTTATTCATTATATAAAATTTGTGAGGAATATTTATCAAATGTGATATATATTTTGTCACTGAAATTGGATTGACTTGTGCTAAAATAAATCTTCATTTTAGTGCGTCCTTATACACCCCTGTCTTTTATTCTAAATCATTGTTAAATGATACGTATCTAGAGCAAGCCGCTGAAAATTCAGTTCATACATTGTATAAAAATGATCAAATTGTTAATAAGCGTGAATTCTTTTCAATAATTCAAATCCAATGTTTAATATCTTGATTAAACGTGTTTATCATTCCAGTTTAAACAAAATCGAAAATTGTCAGCTATATATCTTCAGGTTAGCCAATATCTTAGAGACATTACTGTTGTAGAGCAGTGTGTCGAATAACTACTAATATTATGCGTTCCAATTCGTATCCTCATGAACCATTACTGAATTAATGTATAAATAAGGGCTTTAATGCATAAAATCCTATATAACTGGTGGCAAATTATCGCATTTATTACCTAGACAGTCATTTTAAATAATCTCGGTCTCCAAGACAGTGCGGTCTTCCAGTGCAACATAAGCAATCATTATGGATTTCAATTCGTTAACGCTTACGTCAATGTTTGGAATTCACCACCTGCGATAATTGGGGGACCATCAAGTGAACTTATTATTGCAGAAGGACAGAAAGTTGTCATACCCTGCCAGACGGTGGGAGCTCCAACACCAAGAATTTACTGGACTCGAGATGGAACAATCACGGCTTCTGATGAGACTGGAAGAGACAATGGGAAAAAAGTCGTTCTATCGGATGGGAGTCTTGAAATAGTGGTAAATATTTTTAAATTATAAATTTTTTTCCTTATAGTCATGACATATGCACCTATTTAACCGAATTCGACAGGTGAAATTTCCTCACTATCAGGCAGATAGCGGGAGTCCTGGACTATTTAAAGCTCTCAGTCCAGGTTGATGAACTAACAAGAGATAAAAATGTAACTGAAGATCTCTATGAATGAGATGAAATTGGCACCTTCTCAAGTTGTTTTTACGCACTTCATACAAATGTCATAAAAACGTACCGGATGTCCAAAAAAGTAGAACAAGATCTGAGAATCTCATTAGCTCGAGATTTCTAATACATTTCCCAGATCTTGTTGATAAGCAACGGAATAATTCTTTCTTAGAGTTCATTAATTTTCATTTTACTTATCCTCCACACATGCACTGTTTTATTTCTGATGAAGGGAAATGTCTTTCACAAAAGAAAGAGCAGATTCCGAGCTTATTTTGATGAACGAATTATAACTCTCACCTTGAGTTACCCAAAATGATGGGTTTATGGTATATCAAATTTCTAACATGCACAGCTATTATTAGCCATGTATCAAGGTGCAATGATAAGAGCTAGTCATATCAAGGTCATATCAAGGCCCAAGGACAAAAGAGGAGTTAAATTGCTGTTTGTTTTTACTCATGGACTGCTAATTAGGAATCATATTCTCTTGAGTGAGAGGAAATACACATTACTCCGTGGTCTGTACTTATTCCTTGGGAAAATAGAGAGAATGTGGATGATATGAAATATTTGTTAACAGTGGAAAAAATAATTGAGTAGCTATTGTTTGATAAAAGGATATTTGCAAAAATTTAAAATTACATGGCACATTACAGCGATTTCACGTCAATGAATTCACTCAGCTTAGTTTACGTGAAAACTTCGTATAATTAGTTCTCTTCAACATTTTGCATGGATATTATTTCAAGTGGCGAATTTTATGATTCCAACCAAATTATAAGAAAAGAATCGTTGGAGATATAATAACCTTTCAAGCTTGATAATAATCTCAAGGATTCAAATGGCTTTAACTACCAACAAGCACCACTTATATATATATATATATATATATATATATATACACTAGTAGAAATTTTAAAAGTCAGTAAAGCATTGCCAATTATGTTTAATTATTTATCATTTGAGAAAAAATATTACTTTAACTTTACTAAAAAGGATAAGTAAAAAACAAATTTGACACCTCACACGCTTTTGAGGTTGAAGGTTGAGACAAACCGTTTATTAATGATGTTTCAAGCACCAAGGTTATGTGGGGGTGTGGAGTGAAAACACGGTCTGGTCTTGGAATACACGAGTCCCTTGCATGTCTTTCCTCCATGTGTTTGCATAAATTTTTGTTGTATAAATAGATGCTTTTTATTAGTCTGAGAAAAATATTGACAAAAGCCCTTTTTTATAATTGCATTCCCTATTTGTAAAAAGTGAAGACTTGATTTAAGAAGTCTTTTAATGAGATTTAAGATATTTCAACTAATATTTTTCTAAAATTGATAAATAAATTGTTATTTAAGTATAATTTCGCATTCTTTTATAACTCTTCTCCTTCGAAAAGGAGCATTGATTACCAATTTTTAAAATTTCGGATTTTTTAGAGAAAGCCACTTAGAAATGCGTATTTAAGTAATAAAATACTTCTGTCTTGACTTCGTCAAACGTAGATATATTGTGCGTTGCACTGCTTATAATTAGTCATTAGAACAAAGCATTTTGGACTAATGGTGATTGGATATATATATATATCCAGCTTTTGAATAAAATGATATAATTTAATAAGAGTTTAATATTTACAGAGGACTTAGATAAATAAAATGTCAAAGCTTATACTTTCTTGGACATTCTTTTAAATAGATAATAACTTGTTGGAGTCAGAAAATAATCAACAGCCGATGGTATCACATTTATGTTCACGATGAAGTGCAGTACTAGTAGGTTGACTTGAGTATAAGTAGTAAGCACATTTAGTTTTCCATACCACTAGATGTGTAATGGTTGATATCTGTATTGAGTCCTCTAGATTTTGTTGTAATAAGCTGTAATAGCAGTACATTTATTTATATCAAATGGCAGGCTTTATGGTAGTTATCATTAGCCCTTTAGCTGACTTCAGGCTTCACAGAGGGGAAGGAACATCAAA